AGCGTTTCAAATCTTGTGGCGTCAATAATGCAGTTCGGTCTTGGTTTAATAACGGAACCAGAGGATAAATGAAAGTTTTGACCTTTGCCCATAGATAGCTCTATAATTAGACCTTGAAAAACCAAAGCTACTCAGACTACTAAACGACATTTAACTTTTGAAACTTTTTAAATGTAAGCTTTTCATGTAATTGTGGCAGGCTACAAAACAATGCGCAATTCATTGTATTTATTTTTCTGTTTCTGTGAGCTTATCTATGCCATATGCTGTTTAAAGACAAGTTCCTCAGTCTAAACTGGTATTTGTATTCCAAAACATGATCCTAATTTACAAAGTGGATTAAAAACCAAATTATGAGAAGAATTCTCTGAGTTCTTATGGCATAGGTTTCCGAGCCAGGGAATCTTACACATTTTTAGTCCCGCAAATGGTTGTCGTAAATGTCTTTGTCCGTTGGCGATTGGTACCATAGACACAGGTCTATCTATCCAAGGCTGAAACGGAAGCTCTGGCAAGCAAGTCGACACAGCTTCACATGTGCTATAATAAGTTGCCAAGGCAATAATAATTATGGCAATATACGAAATCAACGGTCTGATGATGGAAATTATCATGAATACTATTGCCGAGGATGCAGATCCAGGTATATTCTAACCAATACAATAATAATTTTGGTATCAAAGAATATGAGATGTATTCACCCAATTTCGTTTAAGGTGATGAAGGACTGGTAGTAGAATTTACCCACAATGATATGAGTATAGCTGACGTTTCTATTGAATTTCACATTTCCTTGCTATCCCAAAAGTTGGCCAGCTCTACTCATATCATTGTGGGCAAATTATACTACCAGTCCTTGATCACCTTAAACGAAATAGGGTGAATACATCTCATATTACTGATTTACTGATAGTCTTGAAACTCTACTCAAACACGAAAAATATCAAAGAATAATTTTTAGGTCTAAGCTACTTAGATTATAAGACTTGGTGGTGAAACGGGGCCATCTGAGAATAGGGCATCTTGTATGGTTACATTTTTGCCTAAAATACATCATTTTCTTATTAATCTGGCAATATGCGAAATATAGTGCTATAGGGGAGAGTATATGAGATTTAGCGAGCAGCATTTTTGCATGAATCCATTTTTACACGCTAATGCAATATCATCTCTCTTCATACCGACCTGCTGTCAATCCTTCTATTCGCCAGGATTGCCGTATGGCGCCGTCTTTTCTACACCCGAAATCGTAGAAAGAAAGGTGCCACCGTGACGGTGAACCAGATCAAACGCATTTTCGGCCAGGCTGCTAAGGACCAAGAGATAGACATAATGGAATTGTGGCTGCACTCGCGACACTATAGCCATGGCCTGACAGAGGTCAACGTGGAAGAGATGCGTCAGCTGCTCAAGGACTGGTGTGGAGTTTAGTCAGATCTCATGAGCTCAAAATGGCCATGAGAATCTGCTCATTTGGAAAAAAAGTAAAGGGAAAGCGCACCCACAATGCTGCGATGCAATTCAATGCATTCTTCCACAAGACTGCCATTTTTACACATTTTATATCATATAAATGCAAATAGTTAATAAAACCTTTAAAAATTTACCGACATTTTGCCATTCCAGTTCAAAGCGTCTGCTCGTAAGCTCCACATTTGATGGTAGCAAACTATGTATTTATTTCGTTGAACCATAACACAATAACCACTAATCCATATACGAAGAATCATGCAATTTATAGTGCAACCAAACAGAAGACCACACAAGCTTGGTCTTCATATCTACGATCAATTAGTTTAGTTTACTAGTACCGCATCAATTAGAATAAAGGCATAGTTATAAGCTCATTGGCTGTGTTTGAGGAAAATAAATCGCGGCAGTATATGACACTTATAGCTGGACAGTGAATAAGTTCAGTTGATTAGTTGAATTTTCCCATAGTCGGATGAGTATAACTCATGATGCCAGAGAATTTCACAGTGCCTAATAATATAGTCATCATAGGGCGCTTTAGGTGATTTATGGAATGATAACAAAATTTCTCACACGCGAGCAGGCGACACGATGTCAGTGGATTTCACATTGCCCTCTCCTTCAGAAGATTTTCTCATCCAGACTGAACTAAATTACAGATTCAATATAGCCTGGATCAAATGAGCACCACTGGCTGGATTGTAAACCGGGTTGTGTGAATCTTGGCTACAAATTACAATTCCGCAAAAGTGAAACGTGTGCTAATAGGCCACAGGATAGATGTGACATTAAAAACAAACCAGGCCTGTATCTAATCACATTTTTAATGGAGTTTTCGATAAGCCAAACTTCTACTTGCTATTTTATTTTGACGAATTTGCCTAAATTCGATGTGCTTAAGTTTCGGAGCTGGTCTGGCTTAAGAACTTTTGTAACCAGATAACCTAACTTGACAGCTTTCCGCTATATTCACATAGAAAATATGTAATATTGTAGGTTGAAATAGCAAATACAGATGCGATTACTTGAAAGTCCAACTATAAATGTGTTTAATGAGGGGCCTAGTCTGTCTTAAAACTCACATCTGCCTTATCAAAAACTCGCATCCGCTGCTGTTTAACTGAGTGGTAATTTGTGATCATTTTATGCACATGACCCGGTTTCAAAGAAACTTAAGAAAAGCGAGACCAGGCCTGATGATGTTTTATGGGAGGTAAGACAATATGAAATTCAATGTCTCCCTAAGGTTTACCTATTTTAGTGGGGCAAAATTCAACTCTTAATTTTGCTTCACTTCAAGTGACTTATGATGTATATAATTGCTATTTTAGAGCATTCAATGCTAGTCATTTTTTGTGCTGCTAGCATTTGCGTTATTGAGTAGTATAAAAACTCATTTTTAG